GGTCATGGAGGAACACTCGATCGCCAATCTCGATTTGTTCTCCAGCAATTCGCTGATCATAGTGGTCCTTTTGACGCTTCTGGGCAGTTTGCAGGTGCTTCCTGGCATGCTCATGGACTTCTTCCAGGGTGTCACGCAACTCCCTTATGTACTCTGATACTTCTGGCTGGTGGTTTGGTTGTCGTCCAAACATGACTTCTACTGGTAATCGTACCTCATGGCCAAACAATAGGTAAAACAGTGTGTACTGGGTGGACGTATGGACACTTGACCGGTAGGTCATTATCACCAATGGCAGGTGCTCATCCCAGTCACGCTGGTGGTGTGACATGTGCTTGGCCAGCATATCCTGGAAGGTACGGTTCATTCTTTCAATCATTCCGTTGCTTTCCAGGTGGTATGGGGTTGTATGAGTCTTATCCATGTTGAACAGGAGGCACATTTCCTGGAACAGCTGGGCTTCAAAATTGCGACCCTGGTCAGAATGTATTTGCTCTGGTGTTCCGTACCTGGCAATGACTTCTTTAACGAGTTTCTCTGCGACAGTTCTCGCTTCCTGGTTCGAGATCAAGAACGCCTCTTTCCACTTCGTGAAATAGTCACCTACAACCAGGATGTACTTGCTTCTGGATTCAGTTACTGGCAGTGGTCCTATGATGTCGATAGCTATTCTCTCTTTGCTGCTGTCAACTGCATTGGTCTTGATTACTTGGTCAGTTACTGGAACTGGCAGGGGATTTCTGGACAATGCATCGGCATTCTGGTGCTTCTTTCCTGAGCAATGCTCGATTCGATAATCGTACTGTCCAAGCATCTCCAACCACCTGGCAACCTAGCCTTCGGGCTCCTTAAAGGTCTGAAGCCATTTCAGTGTGTTATGGTCAGTCCTTACGGTGAATGGTCTTCCATAGATGTAGTGGCAGAAATGGTTAATCACATAAACCATGGCCAGCATCTCCTTGGTGGTGCTGTACTGACGCCCGTGGTCCTCCAGCACTCGACTGGCATAAGCGATCACCCTTTCGTCTCCGTCTTGCCGCTGTGAAATGATTGCTCCCAGTGCATAGTCACTGGCATCACAATCCACTACGAACTTCTCTCCAAAGCAAGGGAAGGCCAACACAGGAGCTGACACCAACTTTTCTTTCAGAACTCTGAAGGCTTGGTCGCACTCTGGGGTCCAATTGAACTTCTCTGTTGTCTTGGCAGTAAGCGGTGCAATGGTGCAGCTATCTCAGCAAAGTCCTGGATAAATCTCCGGTAATAGGATGCTAGGCCCAGGAAACTTCTCACATCGGTCACTCTCGATGGTACTGGCCACTGCTTGACTGCTTCAATTTTCGCTGGGTCAGTGCTGACACCTTTGCCTGAGATCACATGACCAATGTACGGCACCCTGGGTCGTAACAGGCAACACTGATGGTTTCAGCTTAAGACCTGCCTGGTAGAACTGCCTGAACACTTCTGCCAACCATTCCAAGTGTTCGTCAAAGTCTCGACCATACACAATGACGTCGTCCAGGTACACCAGACATGTCTGCCATTGTAGTCCAGTGAGGACGAACTCCATAAGTCTCTGGAATGTTCCTGGCACATTGCAGAGACCGAAAGGCATTACCTGGCATTATGCTGTCTTACGGTCAGCGGCGCTCATCTTGACCTGCCAATAACCACTTGCCAAGTCCAGGGTAGTGAAAACTTTTGCACTGGATAGGGCATGAAGAGTCTCGTCTATGCGTGGTAGGGGGTAAGCATCCTTCCTGGTCATGTCGTTCAGCTTCCGATAGTCCATGCAGGAACGGGTGGTACCATCTTTCTTCTTCACCAAGACAATTGGTGAGGCCCACGGACTGGTGGATGGTTTCACTACACTGTGCTGCAACATTTCTTCAACGTGTTTGTGCATGGTTTCCTGCTGGTGCATTGGTACTCGTCTCGGTGGTTGCTTAATTGGAGGGTGGCTTCCAGTGTCTATGTGGTGCTTAACGATACCAGTACGTCCAAGGTCTTCTGGGCCAGACGAGAAGATATCTGAGAACTCGTCCAGGAGGTTCGTGAGATTGTTCTTCTGCGTGCTGGTCAGGTTCATGGTGTCCAGGTCAAACTGCTTGGATGCTAACGGTCTTGTCTGCCTCTGGGTTTTCTTAGTTGCAAGCCGGTTGCAGCTGACTGGTTCCAATGCACTATCTTCCAACTGGTTGAAGATACCAACAGAAGTGTTCTGGTAGAGGGTCACAGGAGTAGGTGATGGGTTGACGACATGGACTGGCACCATGGTTTCCTTAGGCTGCGCCACCACTCGGGCCAACAAGAGATCATGTTGCTTGGCAAAACCAGGAGATGGTTCAACTAACCCTAGTACACCATCACCACACTCAGCCTCCTTAAACTTAGCCAGCAATACCATCTCATGATGACCGGGAACCACAACAGTTTCTGCCAATTTTATCCTGAAAACTTTTGACAACT